CTCTTCTGACCTTGGCACTTATCTTTCTGTTCACAGTGTAGACACAGATCCCTGACCCCTATCCGCCCCGGGGGGATTGCTGGCCTTCCTGATAGGAATTCAGAGGATTTTTTTCTTCTGACTTAGACCCTGTTTCCTGACAAATAGCATGTGATCTGTCTTACTCCCAGCATGCCTCCTGCCAAGCACAGCTACGTGGTTAGTCGCAAGCTCTCACATTCAGTTAATATACCTCTTCCATGGTGGAGTTCGTCATTTGACAATGTGACTTCTGGGAGCTGAAATCAGTGCAATTGAACCACTAGCAATGGAACATTCTGTGGGACACACTTTTGGAAATAATTTCTAAAATTGCTCACACTTATTAACATCAACTTTATACTAGGTGACATTCAAGGTACTCTATATACATAATCTAATTTTCCTACCATCTCTATGAGGTAGGTATTATTATTTCTATTTTGCAGATTAGGAAACTGAGGCTCAGAGACAAAGTCAATTGCCCAGGGTCACAGAGGTAATTTGTGGTGAAGTCTGGATTCGAACTCAGATCTGTCTGAGTTCCCAGCCTGAATTACTGCATGCTTTTGTTCAGCTGGTTCAGGCCATGACAATGTTTCAAGCAGTATGTCTCCAGGAAAAGTTTAGGAAGTCAGTGAATTTATAACTGGCACACCAGCTCCCCACACCCAAAAAAAATCCCAAACCAAAAAGCATCAAGATGTAATTTTTGATCTCTGCCTTTTCACTTACTCATCCAGTAGTTCTGAGATTCTCCCAGTACCATCTGCTGCAACACTAAGGTCCTGCCAGGCTGGAAAGAAGTTCATTCTCTTACTTCATCCAAGTTGCCAAATAGTGTTGGCAGCTGGCCCTCAGCCCTGGGTCTGTAACCCTTGCAAACGCAACAGGACAGATGGAGCAATTGCTGAGTAAGGGTGGCTTTGGCTGGGGTTTGCGGTTATTTGGATTTATCTATAGTTGAGGCCCTGATGATTTAATTCATATTTATTCATTCATGACTTCAGATGCATTTACCAATTACTGAGGGCAGGGTTAGGGGCAGGGGGATAGCAATGAGCATGGGTAGAAACAGCCCTATGTCGAAAAGGCTTACTCTTTTTTTGGGAAAGGGGACTCTGAACAATGACCATACCATGTGATGGGTATGGGATGAGTGTAGGTTAAGCAAGAGCAGGGCCGTAGGGCCGGACATAGTGGCTTACCCCTGTAATCCTAGCACTTTGGGAGGCCAAGGCAGGTGTATCACTTAAGCTCAAGAGTTTGAGACCAGCTTGGGTAACATGATAAAACCCTGTCTCTACTAAAAATAAAACATTAGCCAGGCATGGTGGTGCATGCCTATAGTCCCAGATATTGGGAGGCTGAGGTGGGAGGATCGCTTGAGCCTAGGAGGCCGAGGCTGTAGTGAGCTGAGATTGTGCTGCTGCACTCCAGTCTGGGCGACAGAATGAGACCCTGTCTCAAAAAATAAGAACAAGCAAACAAAGCCAAAAATAAACAAAGGTAACTGAGAATGAACTATGAGAATAGGGAACTGGCTTAGGACCACGACAGTTCAGAAGAAGGGCCCTTTCAGCTGAAACTCAAGAGTCAGTTGGTTGGTCCCACGGCCTCCTAGGCTCAAACCACAGTGGGGCTGGGGTTTGGAGACTTCCCAGATGGGAGAGAATGGCAACCATTAAGAACCAGAAGTGAGAGAGAACAGAGGGACAGGAGTATAGGAGGAACTGAGAGATGCTCTGTATTTTTGGAGCATAGGGTTTTTACATGTTGGGGGAAAGTGAGTAAAGATTAGTCCAGGGTAGGCTGTGGCTGGGGAGGGGCTTGGGTCCACCACCAGGACCTTGTGAATTCATCAAGATGTTCACTACTGAAGTCTGCTTTCCCCCAGACCTGACTGGATTTCCCCTTACTTTCCCTGGGTTTTACTGCCCTTTGTCCATTCTACATGGAGCACCCATTCCCCCTGCTACGCCAGGACTGGCCACTGGTGAAATTTCAAAGATGCAAACACACGACACCCTGTTGTCCAAGAATGCACCTCACTTTTACTGAGCACTTTCCACTAAACACTCCCTCACTTCAATTAATTCTTGCACTCTCCCAGGTTAGCAGACATTGTTGTCTGCCTTTCATAAATGAGGGTACTGAAGTTCAGAGAATGGGCTGAGCTGCCTGCCAAGGCCACATGCCCGTAAGTGGTGGAGCCTGGTGGGTCAGCTCCGAAGGCTCCTGTCTTCTGCGCCTCCCTAGGATAGGAGATTGATGTGTCAGCACCTGTGTTCATGCTGGAGTGAGCAGCAATGAGAATGAAGAGTAAAGGTAGCCTGGCAGAAAGGGCGGGAGGACCACATCTGGCTTCAGGGAGGAGGGAGACCTTGCTGGAGAGGTAGTGTTTAGATAGATGGTGATCAGGCCACACACCTGTTGCAGGATCACTTGTAATATCCTATCATCAGTGAGTAAAGCTTCAATATTTCTTGAGGCTCTTGCTCCTATGCTTCTAAATTGTTTTTTGTTTTTGTTTTTGTTTTGAAATCAGACACACTAAATAGGGACCTGGTGTGTATGGCTCACACTTGCTCAGTACAATGCCTGTCCCTTAGCCGATACTGATTGTTCATTTGTTGATAAATAAATGGATGAGCTTCATTTTTAGTAGCCCACTGCCTGGATCCTCACTCATCTGGTGAATGAGATGGCTGGGTGCTATCAGTTACTCCTCCTGCCTCCAAGCATGCTGTCTCTGAGAGCTGGCTGAGCATGTAGCCAGCTAAGTCCTGTGGCCTGCTGCGAGTCCCTCAACAATCTGGCAATATCTGTTGAAATAAAAAATGCAAGCACAGGCTGGGCACGGTGGCTCACACCTGTAATCCCAGCACTTTGGGAGACCAAGGTGGGTGAATCGCCTGAGGTCAGGAGTTCAAGACCAGCTTGGGCAACATGGTGAAACCCTGTCTCTACTAAAAATACAAAAATTAGCAGGGCATGGTGGCACACGCCTGTAATCCCAGCTACTTGGGCAGCTGAAGTGGGAGAATCGCTTGAACCCGGCAGGCAGAGGCTGCAGTGAGTCGAGATCGTACCACTGCACTCCCGCCTGGGTGATAGAGCAAGACCCCGATTCAAAAAAAAAAAAAAAATGCATGCACATTCGGACTCAGCACATCTACTTATAGAAATGGCATGGTGGCTCACATGTGTGATCCCAACACATTGGGAGGCTGAGTGGGAGGATCACTTGAGTGTAGCAATTTGAGACCAGCTGGGGAAACACAGTAAGACTGCATCTACAAAACAAAAAACAAACAAAAAAATTAGCCAGGTGTGGTGGCATGTACTTGGAGATCCATTTACTGGAGAAATGAGGTGGGACGATCCCTTGAGCCTGAGAGGCTGAGGCTGCAGTGAGCTGTGATTACGT